TCATTTGTGGTATTAAGCATAATCTGTCCTATATATATTTCTACATCTGTTTTATTTGTACAATTATTGTTGAATTACTTCCTGACACCCTTTGTTTATTTGATCGATTAGAATAATTATTGCGTGAAATCTCCAAGAAGCGACTATTATGGAAAGACTTGCATGTGATGGAATCATGTGAACACGTGATCTCGAACAGGTAATTATGATCCGGTTTTGAACTGATTCAAACTGATCCATTTCTAATCACGTGGTGGGGTGGCAATAGCAAAAGTGGAAGATGGCAATAACAATACTCTATAAATAATATTAATATATATATAAATATAATAATATCAAATAATAATTAAGCTAAAAAATATAATAGATTGAATATAATAAATTTTCTATAATTATTATTCTTAAAAAAGTAAAATTTGATAATTATAAAGAAAATATAATTGTAAAATAATTTTTTTTATCATATTTATATATAAATAGAAAAGCAAAATAAGATAACTATAAAAATATAATTATAAATAGATATGACTATAAAGAGATTTGATTATATTATAAAATAATATTATTTATTTTAAATATAAATTTAAGAATTGGAATTTATGTAATAAATTTATTAATAAAAATTAAACTTTTATTAAATATTTTTATTAGTAATAAAAATTTTAGTTAATATAAATTTAATAAATAATAATTATAAAGAAATTTAATTATATATATTATTATTATTATTTTAATAAAATTTAAGATATTTATATATTATTTATATGATTTTTCTAAATATAAAATAAAAAAGATCAAGTTTAAGATAAAAAAGATTTCTTATTTTATTGGTTAATTTATATTATAAATTTAATTAAATAAATACTTTTATTGATTTAAAATTAGTTTTAATTTTATTAATTAAAATTTGAGCTATTATTATTAATTTTTTTATTTATATTTAATAAACAAATTTATAAAATTAATAATATTAGCAATTAAAATAATTAAAGTAATAGAAATTAACTATATAATAACCAAATTAAATTTAACAAATTATATATAAATACAATATTGTTGTATAATGACCTTTTGTCATAATATTTTATTATTGGATTATAAATATCTCATATATTATTGGATAAAGATCATATCACATGAAGTGAGCGAACAAGTGAGCGAACAAGCAAACAAGTGAACGAACGAATAACTAAGCGAATGAGTGAACGAGCGAATGAATATTGAACTAATAGAATTTAAGTGATATAGCATACATAAATTCATATAGCCTAGAAATTATATCTTGGATTTGTATAAAAGCAACATGTATCATAGTTGTTAGAATTAGATATGGTGCCAGAACTCTATACTCAACAATCACGTGATTTTGTTTCAATTTTCAAAAATTTTGACCTAAAATTTAGATTGGATGAAAAAGTCGATTTATGATACTTTGTGGGAAAATCACGTGACTTTATATTCAATTATTGTTATGTCAACCAATGAAATTTAAACACGTAATAACATAAAAAATAGATACGTAATTCAATTTCCATCTTTTATTCTCACTTTCTTTCCTTATTCTCATCCTCCATTATTCTCTCAATCATTTCAGGCAAGCGACGATGTGATTTAAATTTATTGACGGCCCACTTGGCAGTTCTATCCTCTAACTCTTTATTATACGCATCCATGTATCTCCATGACTTACGCGCGAATTTGCGAATGATTGTTACTGGAACCATGGAGAGAGCTTCTGGAACTTGTTTACATAAGTCTGCATAATTATAGTTGCATGATCTTCTGGTCTCTCGCTTCACAAAACCCCAGTACCGCTCTATAAAGTTGCACTCGCAATGAAACTTTGGATATCGTTCGAAAATGTGTCCTGCTTCGATAATTGCCTCCTCCAATATTGATTGTTGTCCACAAAAATCAGGCTGTTGCGACATTATTCGTTGTGTACAGCAGTCTATTCTTTCAGAATCATCGTCATGTTTTCCAGAGCATTGTTCACATACCAAACGAACTCCTTGCTCTGGCCAAAGATTGCGTTCTTTAAGTACTTGCTTTATGCCTTTTGGTTGGTCTCTTAATCTCATTACTGGATAATCATCCGGAAATATTATTGATTGTATGCAACTCTCTTCACGTTCGTTGACATACCAGCCATTACGCATCTTAGGCTGTACACCGCCAGAACTCAAGTTCATTCTTGTCGCGATCAATGCGTTCTTGCTCATAGCGTTATGATTGGTTGATTGATCAAAACAAAAAATGCCAACACATCCAGGATGCAATATCTCAAATATTGGAATTGCCTTATGCACAAGCTGGTCCAACATGTGCTCTGATTTCCAATATCTGTTCATTTGTACAGACCAAAGAACAAAGGTCTCCTTATCCTCAATATGTGAGTTTACCTGCAGCTGCTCATCAGATAATCGTAATAGTCCATGGCATGCGCAAAGAAAAGCTGATACCATAATAGAATGTCCCAAATGTTTAGGGCATAGAATGTCATCTTCCTCTCAGACCCAGATTCTTCGTCACCCATCGTTTGCATAAAAGTGACACTCATCATGTGTCACTTGTACGAATTCCTTCTCTTCTGGCCTAAGGTATGGTTCTAATGTAATATCTAGCATATTACCGTCAAAATCCTTCATACACTTCTTATATTCAAACATTCTCTTTAACCATTCCTTCTTGTATAACACTACATCTAATCGCTCATGTCCATCATAGTAAACACCTTTCCTTCTTTCATTATATTTATACTCCCACAGATACATGTAGTTTCAGCACGTTTTCTCAGAGATCTTGTCTTTTCTGATGTGCCCCATCATTTTTGGAAACAATGTTTCCTCGATATATGCTTTTAGTGTTCTGGGTGATCGTGACTCTGGTGCTTGCTGTCGTAATCATGCTTGGCAGCCTTTCATAAAATTCTCATCATCAAGCAAACTTTCCAATTTTGTATGCATCCCTTAGTGGTAAATAAGAAGCTCTCCCATTTTTATAAAGTGGTCACCCCATTTCCGAATACATCTCGCCATATAGTCACCCTTATTCCATATGGTTTGTGCAATCTGATTACTAGCATTCATTTTGCCATTCTCCTCTAACAACAACTGTATATATTGTTGTATACTTAGGAAGCGCAAATAGTCATATGTGAAAATTTGACTATTTCCTTTGCGAGACTTTGTTATGGAGCATCGTTGGTTAACTTCTTCTAACCATTTTTGTAAGTCTGTTACAGCGTCAGCAGGTAATGGTACAGTGTCGATAGGTGATGGTGAGGTTTGAGTGATTATTGGAGATGACAGGGAGATAATAGTCTGCTTTTGTTCAAAGTATGTATCGAGCTTTTTCATTTCTTTTGCATGTTGTTCTCGCTCTCTTTTTTCTTTTTTCTGTCTCCAGTTCGTTGTTCTCAAATTTCCAGTATACATTGTTCTAAGACTATTCCTGGCCCCCTTATGCCAACGAAGAACTTCATGGATAAAACTTTTTCCCACCTCTTCAAATTCTCGCAACTTTTCTTCCCTCCATTCTCCAAGGGTTTCTTGTATATCAGTGGCTTCTCTCCATTCGCCAGCTTCTCCCCATTTGTCAAAGGCTTCTTGTATATTGATGGTGATGGCAGTTCTTTGTTCTTTCTGAGACGTAAAACAGCCTTTTTTCCTAGGCAATTTACTTACCTGCTGTTGTCTTTTTGTACGCGGTGGTATTGTTATGTATCAATAATATAGAGAATAATCAATCAGCATACATATGATTAAATGAATGCCTTAATTTAGGCCGGCACATACCCAGTTCGAATTATATTTAATGTTAACCAATAAAATTAATTTCACGTGATAAAAATAGTCATGTGAATTGTTTCAATTTCAGGCAAAACATATAAAATATATCCAACTTTAAATAGTTATAACTTTTTTTACAGAAGTTTTTTTAAAATTCTGACCGGTAATTTAATAAAGCTTATTCTAATAAACAATATTACCAGTTTAGTTTTTTTAATTTTGTCTCTATAAAGTGCTAATAGATTTTAAAGATATTCATTTTTATTGTTGAGTATAGAGTTCTGGCACCATATGAACAAGTCCTTTTAGATAATAATTCCCAATTATCATGTCTAATTAGTTATCACGTAGTTTTGATCATTCAAAGAAAAGTAGTTTGCACTTTATGTAGAGTAGGTAGTCAAGTGCAAACTCCTCTCTACACCCTTTTGACAAAGTATTCTTGTTTCTTGTATAATAGCTTTATAA